GTTTAATTTTAAAGTACACACTTTCAGTATTCAATACAGGTAATACAATCACTATACATACATAATATGTTTATAATATAATAATTTATAAATATATTTTATTTATTTTACACTATTATTTAAAAACAGCAAAGAACAATACTAATTTTTATTAACTCTAAGCCACATTCCTATATACATGTTTATTATAATTATATTTGTCAATGATTGTAAGAAAATATTTACAAAGAAAAAATTACAATATTTATTAATACAATATTAAATATTTCCCTTTTTTTGTTTTAATTGTTTTAGTTTAATCAATGATTACTATAGCTTAATATATTGTTCAAATATTTTAACAAATGTTTTTTGAAACAAATAAATAAATAATTTGTTATTATACAATAGCTTGATTTTAACGAAAAAACACAGTTTTATTTTGATTTTTTATTGTAAAATATTTTAACGGCAACACTTTTTTATTACAGCAAAATATAAAAATAATTTGCAAAATTTTTACTATTTCAATCGATCAAATTTTTTTTAAAAGTGTTATATTTAATATTTAAATAATATGGAAATAAAAACAATTCATTGTAATTATTATTTTTTTGCGTTCAATTTACATGTTGAACTACTCATGAGTAGCAATAAAACTGAGCGAAACTACGCTACCTCAAACATATGCGTAGATGATCTACGTAGTTACGTTATTTTCTTCCCGTAAACGGAAGAAGTACTTTTCATTTAAAATTCTATTTTCACCTACCAGAAACGTCTTTCTTTTATTAAATTTACAATTGAAAAATAAAAAAAACCAATATATGAAAAAAAAAATGATCGTTCCATTTATAAACTACACATGTAAGCTCATCATGAGTAGTTAGAATATGTAAACGGAACGCAAATACCAATTCAACAATACGATATAATTGGTATTTATGTGAATTTCTACGGTTCATCAAAAATCAGAATTGCAATCAAAATGTGTTGTAAGTAAATTTTATTATAATCTGAAACAAAAAAAATTATTGTTGTAATTTCCTTCTGTCAAAAATAAACCATTGAGTACTAGTACACTTTATATGCAATATTATAAAATGTTAAAAATAATCTAGAAATAAATCTTGAGAGAAGATCTATCGATTTAAAAAAAAATTATTCCAATTTGTTCCAAAAAAAAATATGTTCTGTTATATTGTTATAAATAGTGAAAGTCACAACAAAAAATTATCATTTAAATAAATAAATGAATAAATGTTATTTTCAATATTAATTCCACAATTTATTTACACGTCACAGAATTGACATATAATGTCAGTATACAATCTGTATGTATGTATGTATATTTCTATAAAATAATAACATTGAAAATAATACTAACATTTTAATATCAAAATTATTTTAAAAATATTTTTTTTATATATTTCATATAGTAACAGAAGTTTTCAATTTCACAATTTAAACATATTAATATATTGTGTAAAAAGGAAATTATTTCAGACGGTATAAAAGACAAGAAAATATCAATATTTGAATAAGATATTATGCTGTATAAGTGTGTTGGATTATGTGTTCAAAATTGAAATGAATTCAAAAAGTTATTTAGGGGAGAGGGTGTTGTGATGCGTAAAATTATATAACTTCTATTGGCGGAGATAGAAAACAAACAAAGTGCCTCTCAAATAATTTACTAAATGATGGCCGGTAAGAATAGTTACATGAAATTACATTTAAATTTGTTTCAAATAAATTGTATTTTAAAATTTGTTATGCAATACAAACAAAATTCAATTTGGTCTGTCAACTCATTGAAAAATACGTTTATCAACATAGCCACTCATACTTCAGCATTATTACAATTTTTCAAACTGAAGATGTAGTTTTATACAACATCCAGAGTTGTGTCTGTAAAAATTAAAAATTTCAACCAAGTCAACCAACCAAACATCAAATTGTTGATCGGCAAGTCCACTAACGATTAATTTTTTTTAAATATTACTATGTTTTTAACGTGTTGAGAGACCACGTATACATTATATACAGATTTTTGACGTTTATTTGCACTGCTTTAATGATTACTATATTCGTAATTAAAAACTTCAAAATCCTACGAGAAAAATATTCTAATTTAGTTGATTACAATTCTAATTCGAGTTTTTATTAATTTTTTTTTTAAATTTGTATAGTATGGTTGTATTGATCTTAATAAGTCAAATTATTATAGGGCTTAAATTTATGTAGACCGTAAAAAAACTGAAAACTTCAAAGGCTTTAAAACTAACAAACGTAATATTTCAACAAATTAATATATTATTTGGTTAATTTTTAAATTTAATACATGAAAATACAGACATAAATGTATGACAAACGGTATATAGAAAACAAATATTTTCCATATGAAAATATAACAGAATTATCAGACAAATTTGAGTCTAATTTTCTGTGTTGATCACTTTAAACATTTCAAAAATATTTTTTTTTTTTAAAATAATTAATACAGTTTTTAAAAATATTATCAATAATTGCAAAAAACGCGAAAAAAAAGTAGAACACTTGTTAATATTTATTTTAATTAAAAATTTATTTTAGCAAATGTTTAAAAAGAATTCAATAATGTAGATTTTATTAAACAAGTGATCTTATTGAACACACTGAATATAAACAAACAAACATTCAGTGTGTTCTGTAAATATACACTTATGGTGTTTATTTGTTGAACACGCGTTTTTTCAACTCTGGTTTGTATAATATTAAAGTGTGTTTTTATTTTCTTAAAGTAACTGTTCACATCAACTTAACTACAAAATTTGATTTAATTTGTGAGTTATAAATAAAGAATTCTAGGAGATGACAAAAATGAATAGCAAAATATTAATAATTTCAAGGTAATTAAATTATAAATATAAATAAATTTTTTATAAAAATACGGAAATAGTATACATTGTTGACTTTATAAATTTTGCGATTTTATGAACTTTCAATTACTATATTAAAATTGGTGCATTTAAAAGCTGTCACATAATTAAGTCGTCTTTGTAAAATTTAATTATTTACAAAAATAGTAGCTCTATAACTGTATTCCCAAAGGACACATGTACATGTTAGTATATTTCAGATCGAGCAGAAAAGAGCATTTCACAATAAAACTAAATTAATATCTACAAGCGAAATGTGCTGTTTTTTTAATTAAAAATTTAAAATTCGAAAATAATTTTTAATATAGAAAATATCTACACAAAAATACCTACCTATTCCCGTTATTTCAAGTCAATATGCTATAATATTGTATACCTAATATTAACGGTAAGCCAAATCGGGTTATCCGACATAAAAACATAAATATGCACCAGCCTTATCGTAAATAATTTGTTATTGATATGGGAATAAATCAAAAATTTCCCTAAATTAATTCATCCTGAAAGTATACAATATAAAAAACAAAATTTTAATTTAAGAAATTTTAAATTACAATATTTATTATGAAAATTATACAAAAAATAAATAAATATGGAAAAATATACTATAATACAATTTTAATAACAGAATTCCACGACTGCTGTTGTATTCAACGATTGTTAACAATTTTGATTTACTCTCTTTCATATTTAAATTTAAGGCCAAATCTTCTCTTAATTAAAAAAAAATACACAAAACGAAGAAGTTCAAGTCAACAACGAAAGAATTTACGAATCCAACCTGTACGGAGGGGCTACAAAAACATAATTATTTAATCGTAATGTGTATACGTACATATACGTGATTTTTAAAGATGGCATCCAGCCTATATGAAGAGGCTACAGTACGTGGATAAAACGAAATTATTGAATTGTATTGAATGAGCACATGTATGTGTGATTTTTAAGATTTATTTAATAGCACAATGAAAATTTTCTTTTTACGATATTATTGCATAATTCAAAATAAAAAGAATTCTCGAATTATTTAAGACAAAATATTATTATTTTAAATATGAGTTATACTGAATTCTTTAATCACTTTAAGCTTGAAAATATTTTTATTTGACACTACACTTATAATCTTCTTAATTAAAATCAATATCTCAAATAAAAATGTGAACAAATTTTGTAAGCACAATATTCGCCTCTTAAGCTCATAAAATTCGACTCTTAAGCTCATTTTCATATGGAAGAACTAAATTACAATTCGAAAACCTTAATATCCGAAAATTTTAAATTAAAAATTATAAATTCATTTTATTCTTGCGATATTATTTTACACCTTTAAATTTTTTGTTTCTCTTATATCACAATAATACTGTATAAGAGAAACAAAACAATTATATTTTTAATAATATATAGCTTTTAAATTTTAAAATAAATTCTCTTCGATCTCGGATATAAGGAATTTCAAAATATATGTATATTCTAAAGCACCCCCTATACGCGCTATATAATTTAAGCGCTATTGTCGCTCTAATGAGAACACACATACAAAAGAAAAAGCTCTTTTCATTCAAGAAAGAAAAGAAAAGAGTAAAAGTCAAAATTTGAAATTATTTTTGTTCAATTTACTTTGTATTTTTTTTTTCGGTTTTCAATTCAGTTCAAAAATAGATTTAGACTAGAGTATACAATAATTTATAAAATTTTATAGTACAATGTGCCATTGTTGTTATTACTAAAGTGAAATACTTTCATTGCCTTTGTTACAATTTTTTTTATTCGTATATTAAATTTTGTTCAATAAAAAAAAGGAAAAATAAATAAATATAAATATTAAGTTAAAAACAAGTTCAAAAATCTTACAATATTAAAAAATAAAAAAAAATTAATAATAAATGATTTTAAAAAAAAAAATCAAATTGGACAAAGAAAAAATTCTTTGGAATTTTGTATCGTAATAAGCGTATACTTATATCGTAAATATGTTATCAAATTTCCTTAAAGGAAATTATGATATTTTATAAATTGTAAAATTATACTAGTGAAAATATTAAAAATGTGAGATAAAATTATAAATGTTCATGTATATTATAGTATTTAAAATGAATTAAATAAAAATATGAGTCGCAAAATATGGGTCGTAAAATTTTGTATAACAAAAGCATCAAGTAAAGCCGAAATCAACAATAACTTAACATTTTATAACATAATTTTTGAGGTTTGTAAATTACAAAATGTAAAAATATTGTGTTATTTTTTAACAATAAGAAAAATATTGCCAAATATATGAAAATTTAATTAAATCATGAACACTTTTTAAAGTTTTGATTTTTATATGTTATACATATACAATGAAGCGTATTTTATTCATTATTGGATATTGTTGGATAGGCTATTAATGCTCTGAGCTTTTCAAATGTCATCTAGTTCTCATCATAAGCTAATATAAATTTCTTTTAGATATCAACCATTTTATATCGATAAAAAACTGGACTATAGGCGCAAAACAGAAAATTACTTTCTAATGAAGATAATTACTTTAATCTATAATAATTAAATTACAACAATATTTACATATAATTGTTTTTATTTACAAAAATGATTTCAAATTTGCAAATTCGAAATATTCTTATCAATCATAATAAAATGTTTTCTTACAATAAAAAAAAATAAAAAATTAATATTGATAAATTTCTTCTTGACGTCTTCTAGTTTCTAAGAACAAAAACTAAGAAAGTGTAAACAACTTAATTATAATATGTTCTTTTCATAAAATAAAGTAAAAAATAAAATGTAAACAATAACAAAAAAAAAAAGATATTGAATTTTGAAAAGAAAACCGTTATCAATTTAGTAATAAACACACACACAATCATTTAAACGCTTAAACACTTTTCGCATTTTCTCTATATTAAAATATAAATTCTCTTTATTATTGTACTAAAAACAATCCCACACACAATTACAACATTACCCTTATAAACAGAGATAAAATTTTTAATATTATTACTTGAAAATTATAAAAGGAAAAAGCCATAAAAAACACGCGCCAAATTTTCAATACGTATTACAACAAATTCGTAAAATTTTTATTGTAAAAAAAATCTCTCTTATTTTAGTTTATCCAGTTATTATTTTATTATGTTCCTTTCCTACCATCCTACTTCTTTGAATGCACGTGAATTTCAAACAAAATACTCTGTTTAGTACAACAAAACAACATATGGATGACCACAATGAGTGCAACAACAATACTTCAATTTTTTCGCGTTGCTACAGTAGTATAATAAGAATTAATGCGTTATGTAGATTTTTTTTCACTCACTCACAATATCGCATTGAATAATTTTATGTACTAAAAAGATAATGCTTTTGTCGTTTTATCATTTAATATTTTTATTTGGAAATTTTGTAGTTAACACTCATTGAACTTAATATACTCTGCATTAAATGAGTAAAAATAATTTTTAGTTAATGTCCAAACGTGTTGAAGAATAGATATACAATGCATTGTTTATTAAATTATAAATATAATTAAATTAAATTCGATTTAAAAATTTAATAAAGAAAATAATATAATAATAATACGAACATTAAAATTATTTTATAATTTATTCTTAATATATTTAAAATATTATTAATTATTATATTTAGTTAATTAGATTATTATTCATTAATTTACTATTTTTTTTAAATTAAATTTAAAAAAAACTATTACTAGTACAATAAATTTTTTTAATTAATTAATTGATTAAAACATAATTAAATAATTAATCAATCTATAATCAAAAAAAAAAAAATAGAATGTTAAATTGAAAAGTGTCACATTTAATTGAAAATTAAAAAAAAAATGAAAATTATAATAGAATAATAAATATACTGGAATTAAATTAAAGCTAAAAATCAATTGATTATTTTAAAAACGAATTTATATATTTTATGTACAGTGTTTTTTAGTATATATACCTATAATATATTAGTGTATATATATCTAAATATTTTGTAGATTAATATAAATATAATAAATTTTATATACAATTATTAAGTATGTGATAATTGATTATTATTAATATTTTAAATAATATATGGTTTAAAGTTAAATGACATGAAATTATTATTATTTTCAAGGTAATAAATGTTATAAGTAATAAGAATAATAATAATAAGCGTTATAATACGTTATACATACTTTAATACCTAAAATCACTTATCAGTATAGTTAAAGAAATTAAATTTTCTTATTAAACAAAAGTGATATACACTGCATATTGTAAGGAAATATTTTATGAATTTTAATCATTATTAATCGTATTATATAATTAGTATATTAAGTGATTTAAATATTTATCGTATAATCAGTCATAATTATTTAATTAAGTATGAAATTAAAATTTGTGTGTTAAATACCTTGAAAAATACCTACAATATGAAAATTATTGAAGCTTAAGTTGATGCCTTAAAAATTTGATTACCTTTATTTAGTTGATAATTGAAAATTATTATTTTATTTACAAAAATCTATTGTACTAAACAAAGTTTTCATATGCTTAAATTTAAATCGTAAATATTAAAAATATATAAAAAAAAAATTTAACCTTGAAATTGATTTCCCGCCAAAAATAAAAATTAGTAAAACAAATCTTGTAAGAGCTTTTTATTTAAATGCAATTATTTTTATTTTTTGTTTTTTTAATTTTTATTTGTTGAGAACATATGATTATAGTTTTTTGTATAATTTTCGCATATACCTACCTAATTTTAATTCTGTTTAAATAATTAATAAAAGTTGTTAATTTTTTTTTTCTATCACTATTTTAATATTTGTGTATAAGATGATTACCTTGACCATTTCAAAAATTAATAATATTCGCTAATCACCCAATCAAATTAAAATTTTTTTCGTATATTTGAAAAGCAAGCATGATTGAAGTTTTGAAGTTTCCTTAGAGGCAATTCTAATACTATAGAATTCTTGTCTTGTTTTCTTTGTTTTTCGTTGATTAAGTTTTATTTTATGAATAATAAATAAGTATTTGTTTTTTAATATTTCTTGTTTTGAATTTTTATTATTATTTCTTTAAGTATTATAATGTAATAAATATTTATACCTAAACATATATATAATATATGTTATGAATAATTAAATAATTTGTGGGGTATCCCATTATTCATATACTTAAATTTTTTGAAATTTTGTGATATTTTATAGAGAAAATGCGAATTAATAAAATTATTCAATATTTTTGTAATTTATACGAAAATTTAAATAATATTAACGATAATAAAAACAAAGAAAAGATGCCAAACAAAATAATATGGCGTATATTGCAGCAAAATGTATTTAACATTCTTGACAGCAAAATAATGAGGTATGGCAGACAACTCTCTATATATTTTACTCACTTTATTGTCACAATATATCAAGAAATCGTATCAACATAGTAAATACCTGATATCAGTGAAGCAACAAATTTATATTAATATAAACATATGCTATCCTGCCAAGATGACGATATCCCAGTACAACTTCTGGGAAAGTGTGATATTCTCATTCGTGGGAGAAGTGAGATACTCACTGTAGTCTTGCAAGGTGCTTGAATTCATCAGGAGAGTGGATCACGAGCGGTTGCCTGTTCTCAGAGGGCGGGGGAAGGGGATCCTTATACACGGTTACGATGCACTGTTACCTCGAATATAGAAATCCACAAAATCTATCCTGCTGACGCACATTATTGTAGCAGTACACTATTTTCCTAACTATTATAGCAATTAAGTATTATTGCAATTTTGTAGTCATAAATGGTGTCACTGCAAATTCTATAGTTTCAATATATTCTCAATATTTTTTTACATAAAATGTGAAAGCATTAATGAGTATTTCTCAATTTGAGTATTTCATTATTTGATTTTTATAATAACAAAATCTAATTGCAACTTAATTACTACAATTGTTATAAATTTAAATCTTAAAGTCTATTATAATATACTTGTTCAATAATTATTTAGGTATATGCTTACCTCGTGGATTGAATATTGTAAACCGGCAATTTCAAATAGAGCTTTCAATGTGTTAGTGATCTAAAAAGAAATATTAAAAAATATATTTTAATTTAAAATTAGTTTTTAATTGGATTATATAGGAATATTTATGTAGTTTTAACCGTTTTAGGTAAAAAAAAGACTGTAAATATATAAAAATAGGCAAATATCAATAAAGAAGAAATTTAATCGAATAATAAATTATTGTTGTTAAATATTTCATAAGTGAAAAGTCTTTAAAAATCAATTCCGTTTTTAGTACATATTGATTTCATTTAAAATTTGCAATACTGCACTGCGACATACATATACTACAAATATAATAATATTTTGTGTCGCGTGTTAATTTGTAATAGAATATAAAATATTTATAGCTATCTAGTATATAAATATAGAATTTACAACTTGTTAACCCTAAAGCTTAATTGCCCCGTCATACGCATGAATCTTGCATACACGTGCTTGTTATTTAATTAATTTAATATTAGGCACTTAAACGTGTGTACATATATGTAGGTACTATTCTGCATTGGTATAAAAAAAATTATTCCACATGTTAGATTTGCTTTTAAAGTTTCCAATATTTTGTGAATAATAAATTCTAAGATTTTATAAGAATTTCGTAAATTTCATATAAAGCAATAATATGTTTATTGCTTTTTGATTAAATTTGGAAAATTAAACGCCGAGTTTGCCAGTTCATATCTAATTCTAATTGTACAGAAGTAATTTATAATAAAATATTTAATAAAATCAAGTCTTCTAATTACCACTTTTAATTAACAAATCCTTTAAACCTTAATTATCAAGTCAATTCTTTTAAATTTTCTTCTTTAAACTGTATCCCATTCTGCTGTTCCCCATTGTCCTGTTTTAATTCAAATAAAATTCAAAAAATGCAAACATTATTAATTTATTTCAAATAGAATTTTCACCATTAAATAAAAAATCTTTTTAAGTTTTACGGAAGTACATAAAAATTGTATATGAAAAATATTTTTGACACATCAAGAAAAAAAAATTTATAGCGCCGCTACTACGTTTACAAAAAATAAAAAAATAAATTTTTAATTTATTTAAGAGAAATGTGACGCAAATTAACTAAAATGACACCAAATAAAAAAAAAATTCTTATACTAAATTTATTTTTTTTTTCCTTTATCATTTTGGTCAAATATT